GGTCCCTGTGCTCTGCTAAGCTTGTTCTAAGTAGGTGCTTTAGACCACTGAGCCATCTCACCAGCCCCCACTGAGCCATCTTACCAGCCCAATAATTTCATCCTTCAAAACTAGAAGTAACTGCTCTAGAGGTTACTACTAGTACAGGACTTACAATAAAAGCTCAACCAATACTTGTTAACTACTGGTATAATTAGAGCCAATTGGTTCGTTCACCTTTCAACAATGAAGGAAGGAGATAAAACATCCAATTTAGTTTTATGGCTGCATTAGTAAGAAAATAAAAATGGGCTGTTAATTATTATTCTTTACCACCAAGTCAAAGTAATTAAATGCTCACCATGGCATCGTAGAGAATAACATAGACCTGACTGAGTTTATCTTCTGGGATCCCACAGTGTAAGAGTATTGCTTTCAATACCATGGTATGGTTCAAGTAAATACTGTAATTTCTTTCCTGGGATACATAAAAAAATGATATATTATTTTTATTGTAAAAGCAACATGAGTACATGATCAAATCTGGAATTTTACCATCAATTTATCATCATAACACCCATGGAAGGACTTAACTTCAGCATCTTGCCTTCTAGTTTATTTTTTCATAAACATTTTTACACTGGTAGAATTAAGGGATATACTTTAAAACTTTTATTATATGCTTTAAAAATAACCTGGCTGATCTTCAACTATGCTAAAGAGCTTGAGTGAGTTCACACACATTTCAGTGAGGGACAGACTTGCTTCAAGTGCACCTAACTTACCGGCCTAGGCTGGAGGAACAGTTATCATTACACAACTTTTGTGCACATGAATCCCTTAAGCAGTCACTGAGCGCTGAGCTAGTGCTGAGCTCGGACAAGGGGGTACAGGGCAGAGTGGGGCTGAGGGCACTGTGCTGAAGGAACACAACAGTGTGACTGAGGAGTATGTGGATGCCTTGGGTGAGGAGCTGGGAGGGTCAAGAAGATAAGGTGGCCAGCCACCCAACCGGTGAGGAAAAGCCAGGTTTCCCGGGAAAAGGCCAAGAACACACTGGGTGAGGCAAGACTTAGTGGAGAAGGAATTGCTGTGACCTGCAGTGTTGGGAAGGTGGCACTGTGCGTGTGCTGAGGGGAGGGTAAAGAGAGCAGGCATCGGCTCCCATGTGAGGTAGGATGTGAGCACAGTGAGAAGGAAGGTGGGAAGGTATGAGACCAGGTATAGGAGGAGCTGCAGAGGGTTCTGAGCAGGGTCTGAATGTGCTAAATGCATATTCTTAACCTGATTTCTTGCACATTATAAGAATGGGCCCAGAAACATCTGTCCCCCAAAACAAAAGCAGTTCTAGTCAAGGTCAATGTAAGAAAAAGTCCAAGAAGAAACGTCATCCAACTCTCTGCAGGTGCTTTGTAAACACATGATTTACTCCAGCACAAACTGAGGAGTAGGTCTGGGGTTGTTGGGCCTTTCTCACTACACTTAGTGAAGGGTACTCTCAGGGGATTCTCAAAATGTGAAAATATGGAAAGGTACCTGAAGTGCTGGAAACTCTTGGATGATTTCATAGATGGTATAGATGGTTTCAGCGGTGGGTAAGGAACTGTTGGTGGTAGAAGTGATGATGTCAAATGCACATTCCAGAAGTTCTTTGGGATGAAACTGATCTAACTTTCGAGGTCTGTACACACGTTCTATGCAGTACCTGGAGAGAGAAACCCAGATGTCTAAGTTCATTGCTTACTGGAAATAAATATGCATGAGGAATTTTGACCAAGATAAAAGAAAACAAGGTATAGAAAAAATTTATCAGTTGTATGATTCAGGGGACTTAAAGACAGACTTGCCTGTGACACAGGCTCCAACTCCTACTTTTGTGCTATTGGACTATAGGGCCTAATTTTTTAAAATGTCTGCAACAGAGAAGAAATTATATATAAGACTATTTTCATCTTCAGTGATTGATTTCTATACAGGGCTATCTACCCTCAGGACTGACATAATTGCTCACTTGTAGTGGGAATAAAAGCCCATGAAGAGGTCTGATTTTGTTGAAGAAAGGAGCCTTACAGTAGGGTGGCTCGTTGACAACAATGCTGCTCCAATCTATGATGATCATGGGATTTGACCCCTGTGTGTTCTGAATGTACAGAAAGCCTTTCCCAGGGCTAAGTGCCCACTGCTCCTCAGCGCACCGCCTCCCTGCTGTCTTTGCTCCATTTCTCTACGAGCAGCTTTTGTTAGGCCTCCTGTGTGAGCCGTCTTCACACTGAGCTCACTGGCCATTTGTTCCTCTGATTATACTTAAAAAGGGGCCATGTGTGGTCAAGAGCAGGCAGATTTTCCCTTGAACAGCCATTTGTGAAAATAATTAGTTGCGTTACTTAGGGACACGAAGAAGGCACATGATAGATGGAAGGTTACCTAACTACTGTATTTCTTCTAAAAAGAGGCTCACATTCTAGTCACCGAGAGAAAGGAGTCTCAGGACCAGGCTTTTTGGCCATATTCCAAGCTCAATATCATAAACTCTGCCATATTTTCATTCTGCAATATTAAAATCTGTATAAGCTACTAGTTACATATTAATTTTTTCTTTAATGTTATTTTGCTCCCTTCAATCTGTCTCTTCTAACTCCTGGCAGGAGCTCAAGGTCTCTAGCTATAATGCAGATCAGTATTCTTTAGCTGGAAGGATCAAAGAGATAAAACATTCTTCCCTGGTGTCTTTCCCACATCTACCAAATGGAAGGCAGCCCCTATTATTTCTTACCGTTTTAAATTCAATATATTATTTCTTGCCACATATCGTGCAAAAGGGACCTGAAAAATAAAGTTTTATGTCAATGTCACACTGTGCCAATGCCTAACAATTCATTTTCCAGATGGTGTCCTTATCATGAAGTGACACTGGAGTTTGGATCGCAGGCTGTACCCCCCGGCATGGCTGACATGTTCCCAAGTGCTTCAGCCAGCAGCCACTTCCACTGCCGGGCACACGACCAACTTTAGTCACTCTGGCTCTTCTTGGGTTAAGTTTGAGAAGAATTCACTTTTAGTGGCTATATTCTGCCATATTTTTATTCTGCAATACTAAAATCTGTACAAGCTACTGGTTACATATTAATTTTTTTCAAATGTCACTTTGCATCCTAAATCTGTCTCTTCTAACTCCCTGGCAGGACGTGAAGGTTGCTACCTATCATGCGGACCACAGCTTTCTGGCTCTGCGGTGTGGCCTTCCCCTTCCATTCCTGTGTGTGCCGAAGCAAGTCACTCACTCCTTACAGCCTGCTTTTCCCCTTTACAAACAGTGGGGCAAAGGCCTGCCTCTGTGTCACGTGCTATGGCTATAGCGAAACTGTTGAACTTCCTTTTGGCTCTGGGTTTGTCTCAGTAAATTCTTCCACCACTAGGCTCTGCCATGCACCTTGCATGGCATTATATGCACAGGTTCTGTTTAAAAACTTTTCTGAGGGCTGGTGAGATGGCTCAGTGGTCTAAAGCACCTACTTAGAACAAGCTTAGCAAAGCACAGGGACCTCGGTTCAATCCCCAGCACCACATGCCAGCCAGCCCCGCTCCCTGGCGGGCTGAACTGGCCACACACACAAAATAAATAAATAAATAAATAAATAAATAAATATTAAAAAAAACCCAAACTTTTCTGAGCCAGGTGTGAGGCGCATGCCTGTAATCCCAGCACCCTCGGAGGCCGAGGCAAATTCAAGCCCAGCCTGGAAAACTCAGCAAGCCTCTGTCTAAAAATAAAAATTACCAAGTAGCTGGAGATATAGCTCAATGTGGTTTCCAATACAAGCTTTTAGGCTTTCTCTAACAAAAATGGGATATCTGAGTTTTTGAAACTCACTTTTCTTTTTTTTTTTTTTTTAAACAATCTTTTAAATTTTATTTATTTGTGTGTGTGTGTGTGTGTGTGTGGCCAGCTCAGCCCACCAGGGGGCGGGGCTGGCTGGCATGTGGTGCTGGGGGATTGAACCGCGGTCCCTGTGCTTTGCTAAGCTTGTTCTAAGTAGGTGCTTTAGACCACTGAGCCATCTCACCAGCCCCATCACTTTTCTTTTTAAGCTAAAAAGATACCACAAACATTCCTATAGTTCAAATATAAATATGGATAAATCTAAATGTTTTCATCTGAAAATATTCATATTCGATTTATGCAAAGATACAGGTCTAGCTGGGTGCAGTGGCACACACTTGTGATCCCAGTTACCTGAAAGGCTGAGGCAGGGGGAGTTGGCAAGTGCAAGGGCAGCCTGGGCCACTTCATAAGACCCTGAATCAAAACATGGTATGAAAAGGACAGGGATGTAGCTCGGCGGTGAAACACCCCTGAGTTCAATCCCTAATACAAGGCCATGGAGGGAAAAAGAAAGAAAAATATAGATCTAAATCTTCTTTTTGGGATTGAATTCAAGGTCCTGCACATGCTAGGCATGTGCTGTACTACTAAGCCACACCCAGCGCCCTCTAAAAAATCTTTTAATTTTGATTTTTAATATTTTAGGGTCTCACTATGTAGCCCAAGTTGGTCTTATACTCACGACCCTCCTGTGCCAGCCTCCCAAGTGCTGAATTACAGGTAGGCAACATCACACCCGGCTCAGCCTTCTGAGCATTGACATTATAGGTATGAGCCATCATAATGCCTCGCTATCTTGAGATAAAATTTTTCAAGGCCTAGGCTGGCCTTGAAGTTACCATTCTGTCTCAGCCTCCACAGTAGCTGGATTACATGCATGAGCACCATATTTGGCTTACATTTTATTTTGGAGAGCTCCTCACCATTCCGTAATATCAATGACAAATTATTCAACTATTTTTTTAAACAAATGAACATACAAATAGGTTTCAATTTCTGGCCACCAAAATAACATGGCTATGGACATCCTTTTAACATTCATACACTAATGTGTTTTTATTCAAAGTGGGAGGGCTGGTTCAAGTATAGTGCATGTGTCAAATTTTTAAGAGCTTTATTATAAACTTTGAGATTACTTTTCTAAATGTTTAGGAATTGTATTTTCCTCCACAATGTTTGAAAAATACCTACCTTCTTCTACTTTTTTTTTTTTTGTGGTACTGGGGATCAAACTTGGGGCCTTGCTCTGGCCTGGCAGGTGCTTATGCCACTGAACTATCTCCCCAGCTTGCACCTATCCTCCTACACCCTGGTCATCTCTAGGTATCAATTTCGAACTTCCTGCCAGTTTGCCAGGTGGAGCTGGGACAGCTGTGCAATTCTTTACCGGCAAGGCTTAATATGCCTCCAGAAGTCTATCACTCACGTCCTTTCCTCTTTGCTCATATTTCTGGTATTTTCAGGGTGAGGCTGAGGAAGGAACCAGGCACGTGCTCATGCGTGGCACACACTCTGGGCCTCGAGGCTATTTATAATCACCAAGGATTAAGCCTCTGCCATGATCTGCTTTGTTTTTTTTTTTTTTTTTCCCTTCTTGTCTATTGTCAGTGCCACTGACAGGGGACATCTGTCCGTGTGGAATCTGATGGGACCCAATGCCACGGAAGTGAATGCCTTGTATGACTGCGCTGTCAAAGGAGCCCTGGGGGTCAGAAGCAAGCAAGCCTGGTGGCATTCAGTACATCCAATTAGCGGAAGCACTAGGGGCAGTAAGTCTAACTGCTTTAGATGCTAGCATGGTAGGATTTTACAGTTCCTTATCTCCAGTCATGCTCTTACTCCAATTCCCTTAAGAACATTAGGTCTTAAAGGTGACACATAGACTGAGCGAAGGCAAATGTCCTGCAGGGACAACTGTTTAACAGAAACATGGGACTGATGGTCAGCAGCGCTCTCAGCCTCACCCGAAGGTCGAAAGGCAGCATCACCAGCATTCCGCTGTGGTCCATGAACACGGCCGCTTCGTTGTGCTCGTAGATTTGCCTGTTTCGGGGAAGCAGGAGTGGCGTACACAACTGGACTGCTCCTACACCAAGCCAGGGAAAGCAAACTTATCGTCAGGTTCTCCTTCTCTCCAGGCGGCAACCTAAAATGAGCACTAGTCTGCCAAATAACCGGCTCATCATCAGTTTTTCTCAGTTCTCAAAATATACAAATGGAGAGCTAACCTAGAATAAGTTTGCCACCTGAGCACTAGTCTTCCCCCGCCCCCCTCAACCCACCAGGGTCTTGCTTTGTAGTTCAGGCTGGTCTTAAACTCACTATGTAGCCCAGGCTGGCCTCAAACTTGCAGCACTCGTCCTGCCTCAGCCTTTCAAGGGCTGTGATTTCAGGCATGTTCACCACACCTGGCTGCACTGAGTACTACTTCTGACTGCACAAACCAACTGGATTTTAGTAGCAAGGCTGGAATACCGCCATCAGTATGTCCTCAAAGAGCTGAGCTACAAAAATAAGCTTAAATTTCACATGGCATCAGGGGGCCTGCCCATTGGCTCAGTTGTTTAGTGACTGCTTAAACAGAGCAGTCAGGCTCAGGTTGCTGTGGATCGATCCTAAGATCCTCAAGCCTTACTAAAGCTGCCCTGAAGGCATCCTGAGCCAGACAAGAAAAAAAAAAAAAATCCTTCTGAACACATGGCATCAATTATTTGTAACTGAATTTTAATAAATGGTTATACCGAATTCACTAATAATACTTCCTAATAATAAAAAAAATCTTGTAAGAAGCAACACGAGGGCCGGCCAAATAGCTCAGCAGAATTAAAGCACCTGCAAGCAGGCGCAGGGGTCAGGAGTTCAATCCCTGGGCCTGCCTTGCTGGCCCTACCCTCGGGGTGCACTGAGACAGCAATTGAGACTAGGTGTGGTGGTGCACGCCTGTAATCCAGCTCTTGGGAGGCTATAAACTGGTGGATCACTATGAGTCTGATCTAGTAGTGAAACCCTAAACACTCTGTATATCCTTCCCTAAAACACACACACACACACACACACACACACACACGCGCGCGCGCGCGCGCGCCATAGGGGTTTTTAGAAGGACATACCATGTCTTTTAAAGATGCGGATGATGGTTTCACATACGTGCTGCTGTATCTTGGCTGTGCGGATTGAGAAGCTGCCCTAAAAGGGACCCAATTAAAATGTCATCACCAAACCCTAACCCAATAGACCCTCTAAAATATAACTGGTGGCCTGTATTTGGTACACTGCTTATTTTAGAATCACAGAAGAGATCTCAAGAAGTCAGGCCCTCCTTGAGCATATTCAGGAAAGAGACCACATGTTTCACAATACTGTAATCCAGCAGCAGACCACAGAAGCCGCCATATCCTTGCCAGCAATGGAAAGGCCACAGTGGCTCAAAGTCCCTCCTCCTCACCCCGTGGATACGCATGCTTCACCCATGTCTTCACGCGCATGCTCTCCCCAAGGACTCTCAGGCATGCTGTGCAGTGATTCAACCCAAGGGGAATCAGGCTTCTTCCATGAAAACTGCAGGGCATCTACATGCTTTGTCATTTGCTTGTTATAAAAGTAGTCTCTTTTCTTTGCAGAGAACTTGAGACACAGACAAGCAAACAGACAAAAATAAAAGAAGTCCCTGGTGATCCGGCAAATGTCTAACATTGTCAGCTAGGAAAAAATGGTCTGCTCCTTCCTTCAACTCCACATTGATTGGCCACTTGTTTCTACCACTACTCCACTACTCCCTCTACTACACTATCTTATAGACTTGTATCATAGATTAAGCATACAGAAACATTCAGAGAATATAACCAGTATCTATTATTTACCCATATGACTTCATCAAATTTTAACACTATATAACAAAAAAGGGGATACAGATGAATGTCCATTTTGTATCTTTGTAGTCAAAGTGGTTAGGATAGATATATAGTTACATTCTCTTAATGAATAGAGGGATTTGTTCTAATGGTGTTTGTAAATAGGATATCATGTCCGCATCTTGTACAGCAATTAACCACTAGGAAGAATGTATGCAATGTGTTAATTATTGAAACTGTCCTACCAATTTGATTTGAAACTGTGTCATTGCTATTTGTTTCTCAATAAAATTATGGAAAAAAAAATTAACACTGTATTATGTTGCTACAGGTTTTTTTCTTTTTTAAGAAATAAGATATTAAAGGTTAGCAAAATTTACCATCTGGCTATACTGTACAAGCTGTCTGAAGAGAGCCTCTGAAGAGATCCTCTGAAGAGTGCTATGGGTAGAAGCCAAGGCCTAACACGTATTAAGCACACACTCTACCCTTGGCTTATACTATCCCTTAAGATATTCTTTGTTTTTTAAAGGTGCACATTGGGATTGTGGTGCACACCTGTAACCCCAGCACTTGGGAGGTGGACAAAGGATGACCATGAGGTGTAAGCCAGCCTGGGGTACAATTCAAGATCCTGTATCAAAAACAAAAACCCCAAATATCACATACAACCCTCTCCTCCCTTTGCCTACCCCTAAGCACCAAACAAAGTTCTTTTTTTTTTTCTTGTGGTGATTGGGAATTGAACCTAGGGGCTAACCACTAAACTATACTCCTTAGTCCCTTAGCCACACCAGCTCTTTCTTACCCCCAAATTTTGAGACAGTGTATAAGTCACTAAATTTCTCAGGATGGGCTCACATTTGGGATCATCCTGCCTCAGCCTTCCAGAGTGCTGGGGCCCTAAGTGTGCAATGTTATGTCCAGGCATGGATTCTTTTTAAAAGCTGTGCTTTCATATGGTGCCAGGCTGGCCCCAAACTCCAGGTCTCAAGTAATCTTCCTGCCCTAGCCTTCTGACTAGATAGGATTATAGGCATGTGTCTTTATACCCAACTCCTTAAAGAGATTCATGAAGGTCCCGTAGAGCTGCTGCGGAGCCCATGTACACATAGTCATGTCAGAGCTGCCTCAGTGAGCCGGATGTATGACACACTAGAAGCCACCCTACTACTTCAGTAGGGCCTGGCTGCGTGAATGCTTCTGGCCCTGTGCAGCTGGGCCTGGGATCAGAGTCTCTTGGGTGGGTGTGGCCTCAAGTAAGACCTTCTGTTGGCGCTTTAAGAGAAGCCTGGAGAAGCAAAGACCCCCAGGGCGCGCTCACCTTCAGGATGTCGCTGTCGTAGGTGTAATCAATGGCGAGGGCAACGCGTTGGGAAAAGAGCTGGGCCATCATGGTGCGGTAGGCCTTGCCGTCTGTGTTGGCTAGCGTGTGGTGTAGCACCTCGTGCAGCTCCGATTCCTCCATCTGCGGTGGCGGCAGCAGCTCGCTCTTGAGCAGCTCTGTGGCTGTGGGCCGCTTCGCTGGGTCGTGGTTCAAGAGCCAGGAGATGACAGATTTCTAGGAGGAAGCCAAGGCACACCATGAGCAATGCTCAAGAGTCTCCCGGGGGGGCCTGGCCCTAGCTCAGTCCTTTAAGTGGCT